CACACACACACACACACACACACACACACACACACACACACACACTATATATAAAGGGGGAGAGATGGCGCAAAGGTTAGAGAAGATGAGCCTGTGATTGGAAGGTTGCTGGTTCAACCACCCGGAATGACAACGGCAAAAATGTGGGTGGGAAGGGTGAAGAACCCACACCTGCCTCCACCCTGGGCCCTTGAGCAAGGCCATTAACCCCCACCATCTGCTCCCATGAGCACCCTAGATGGCAGCTCCATGCTCTCCACAGAGGGCAGTGGTAGCTCAGTGGTCTGTAGTTGCATCTGGAAGGGCATCCAGCGTAAAAACAATAGCCAAGCTGTGTGACCCTAAGGAAGGGAGCAGCCGAAAGAAGTAAAAAAAAAAGAAATATGTCAATATTTATCTATCAGAAAAATGTCTCACTTGTCATCGATTTTCTTGCTCTTTGCTGGGCTGGCAGTTCGAGACCTGCGATTTCTGCTCCGGGAACGCTTTCTGTCACGGCTTCTGGACCTTCTCCTTTCTCTGCTCCTCGAACGTCTGGCCAAGACGATCAGATTATGTGACCAAAACAGACAATGGGTGAACATAAAAACAAGTATGACTTTGGTCGACATTATGATGCTAGATGTTCTTAATCAAAACAACACATGTTGGGAGAAAATTAACACAAACCTCAGTTGTTGTTTTTTTTTGATTGGGGATTTAATCTAAGAAATTAATGATGATCAAAACATTTTGCATAACATTATGTCCACAATGCTACAAAGAAGCCCTGATAATGAAAATGTGACCATGAGTATATTTTAATCATGAGTTGAATGTGGTTTAGGATCTGTCCAAGAAAATGACAAAAACAATTGTAACATTACAGTTTATCAAAATTTAAGCATATTTGTATTACAGTAGTTCCTTGCTGACGTCATAGATGGATAAACGTAAACATACCTGGGTTTTTTTCTGTCTCTGGATCGGGACCTTCGGCGGTCTCGGCTCCGCGACCGGTCTCTCCTGCTTCGGTCTCGATCGTCTTTCTTGGAGCGTCTCTCCGGGGAGCGACTCTTCGACCGGGAGGCCGACCGCTTCCTGTAGTGTCTGTGGGGGCGATAAAATCAACAATTAGACCCTCGGTTGAACAAGAAATGAAGAAAACCTGCATTAGCGCACGCTTAGCTAGCATGCTAGTTGTAGCGTTTCAGGAGGGAAACTGTCATTACCAGCCGGTTAAAGGCGTTTTGAATGCTCCGAAAACTTGGACATACCTCAATTCGCGGCCCATTCCGGGTTCACGAAGACTGTTCTCGTAAAAAGTTAATTTACTTGACGGATAGTGACGAATCTTTACTGTAGGGTTTGTTTGTGTCGCATGAACCTGCGCGAGTGGCGAACGTATGAAAAACTGCGGAAGCTCGGAGAAAGTCCAAACTAGCTTTAACAGCAGCGCCACCCCGCGGCTGGAGGTCGCAAGCGCAAATTAAAAAATATATTTTTGCAGTTTAGCTGCTGCTGCATATTTATGACTTCTAATTATAAAATAAAACAAAAATGTTTTATAATATATTGTATTTTATTATCTTTACTATTAAATTTTATTGAGATGAATTTATATAAATACTTTTATTTAAAAAAACAGGCAGTCTATAAAACTCCCCCCCCCCCCCCATGTTCATTTGTCTCTTAGATTGTTAGTAAAATATGTCATGAACCACAGATTTATAAAACTTGTAGAAGCTAAATTATTAGCTATACATCTACAACTGATTAATGTTTGGCAGTGAACTCCACTAAAGATGGCTTCCACAGTAGCCTGATCTTAAAAAGTACAAATATGGTTAGAATTTTATTATTCAATGTTATTGTCGTTCGCATCACGTCATACGTATGGTAAGTAACTAGCATAAACTCAAAAACCTGAGTTATAATTTTGACCTTACAAGAGAATTTTACAATCACTGAACATCCTTTTTATTCTAGTTAAACAGCTGAAAACCCAAGAAGACGAAAAGCAAAACGGAATAAGTTGCACAAGAGATTTTATTTGGCATCAACTGTCCAATCTGAAGCAAAAACTGTCAAGATCATCATTACCATAGCCATTAAAAACAGTTCTTCAGGAAAATTATCAAAAAATATCAAATAGATTAGACGAGCAGTAAGATAAATCACATTAAACATAGACTTGGGGATGGGGGATAAATCATTAATAAATTAATTTACATTAAAATATGAAAGAAGACGGCAAAGATTTAGGCAGAATAATGTACAAAAGTTGAGCAAAGCGACACTTCACCAGAAACACACACACAGAGCATAAACACAAACCAACAACTTTTTCATTTGAGTATGAACTTACTGCAACTTTGAGCTCAGAGGCACAAAAAACAACCTTTTTACAAACTGCAGGACTAAAAGCTTCTGCACAAGATCCAGACAGAGACACTGGCTCGTGTTTCAGGTGAACCTTTTCTAGAAAGGATAAATTAAAGTGATGTCACAAACAAACGCTACACGTTCCCAAATTAAACAGTTTGGACCGACACGCTGCAGCCGATCCTTAAAGAAGTCCATATTCGTTTTCAGGTTTAAACAACCGAAGGGCTTACATTCAAAATCTGGGTTTTCACTTGTCTCACCTTCTTTACTAGACTTTAATGAAAGCACTCGAGCTCATTTGTAGCTACGACTTAATGGGTATAAAGAATGAAGCATTTCTCCACATTATTAGTGAGTTTAAGTGATAACCGACTGAAGAAACAAGACACCGGACGTTTTAAACATCACATCTGAGGCTCATCTCTGAGATTAATCAGAAAAATAAAGGATCAAATTAGAGGTTGATGGAGACGAGAGCTTCAGCTGATGATTTTTGGGAAATTAGGGAAGCCAATTGTTGTTTTTGGCCATTAATTTAACAAAACAACAGGAAATCTGAGCAATACATTTTTTGGAAATGCTGCCGTCGAGCAATTTCTCTTTTGTTCAGAACTAGTTTTTTTTTTTTTTTTACCTCGCAGATGATTATTTGCAACACAAGTCTCCAAAACCTCTTTTCTACCAACACAGAACAGTTTGTTACATTTTAGGTTCCCGAAACAGAATTAAGAGCAACTAAACTAAAGAAGATCAAGTCAAAAAGTTCATAAAATATTCAATAAGGAAAATGTAGCCACTGGAGGAGGAAAGACTCGCCACCTACTTGGACCTTTTGGATGAAACCGGCTCATTTTTGGAACAATCTTGGCTTTTCCTGTCATTTTGATTCCAGTTTGATGTGTTATTTTAGAGGTATTCCCTGAATGTGCAGCTGTTTAGGGCTTTGTCAGACTTAGCACAACTTGTATTACATTTCAAGTAAAAAAAAAAAAGCTCAAATAAGTACTAAGATGGTATTTTCTACACAAACTCTTACAGCAAACCTTCCTTCTGCCTAAGAGCTTCTGCTCAAATCTAAAAACCACAAACAGGCCTGTAATAAACACTGGACTCTCGCATAACTTAGTGTTTAGAAGGACTCCTGAAGGGCAGGAACGCCAAGCACTCGTTCAGATACTGTGTAGCCCCGCTCATAAAGCAGCAGATTCACCTTCAGAGAGTTAACAACAGAAAATCACCACAGGGTGCAAATGAGCATGCCTTGTTGGGACTAGAAGGAACGAGAAGAAGAGGAAGTGCTGCAGTCTTCAGGTCAGGGAGTCTCTGAGCCAATCAGCAACAAGATCTCATGGGAGATGATGAAGGTGAAGAAGTAAACGCAGAGGTCGGAGAAGACGTCCCCCATCCTCCTGTAGGTGTCCATGGAGCGGTTGATGACCTCAGCGGGGATGCCAGACAGCAGCAGGGCAGCGGTCAGCACGGTGGTTTTGGTCTTCTTCTCCACCTATAAACAGGAAAACGTGAAAAATATTTTAATAACCGACAGACACTGACGGGGATTCAAACAAAAAACAGTAACAAAACTCTAAACCCCAAACAACATACGAGGCTCGAACTATAAACATTAGTAGAGAACCTGCTCTAAAACCACCTGTATTACTGTAGTGAACTTGACCTGATGTCAAAACTTGACCTTAGGATTATATGGTCAGAAACTGTCATTTCATTGATTTGCATCCAGAAATACAGGTTGATCGATCCTGAGACTTTCTTTCTTGAATTAATCAAGTGGAAAAAGACAATTCGCTATGATCATTACTATTTTACAAATGTTTTGATAATCAAATTGTGTTAGTTCAAACAATGTTTACATGTTGAAGTGAACTACTCATTTTTATTTACTTAAAACAGTAATAATGATTTTTATTCCTCAATTCAAAGTGAAATCAAGTTAGAGTACGTTACAGAGTAATGATTCAATTTCTTGATCGTCTGCTTTGAAGTGAGCAAATTTGTAAGTGTGTCAAAGTTCGAGTTTCGGTCAACTGAAAGTTTACTGAAAAGAAATGTCATGTTTAACTTTTACAGCGAGATACTTGGTGAGTGGCTCCACGAAGTCTGGTTTTTCCATGATATCTTTCTGTCTGTTCTTAAACAATCTGAATCTTTTCCTTGACTTTTAATAACACCTTACATCACAAACCACACCTCTGCTTTGGTCCATCGACCAATCAAAAGGCTCTCAAATGAACCGGAAGTAGAGCTCTTTAAAATGTGGGCACTTCCTAGTTCAAGGAGAGTTTTTGGAGTTCAGAGAGTTCAGCTCAGTCTTGAAGCTGCTGTAAGCTCAGTCTTGAAGATGGAGTAGCAGTTCAAGAGAGTTTTTGGAATTCAGAATGCAGAGAGTTTGGGAGTTCCAGAATGCAGAACGCGGGCATTCAGGATGCTGCTGAATTAGAATCAAGCTGAACCCGAGACGATTTTGGGAATTATAACTTCTGTTTGGATAACCTCACACGACTCTCGAGGTCTTTAGCTGTTCTTACGGAGACGCTGAACAGTGGCTAGAAGTGGGACTTCACGCCGGAACTGATCTATCTTCAGAAAAGGTAAAAGTCGACCTTCACCAAAAGTGTACTGTTGGGACAAGCTGATTTCCGAAGGAGCGTGCATGTTCTGGTTAAAACAGACAAATTCCCTCACACATCTCTCTGTAGACAAACTTCACTTTCCATCTTTAAACTCTCCTATCTGCTAGCAAATTAATCCAGATGTTTTCAGAAATGTCTGTGGTGAAGCAACGGAAAATCATGGCCGTATGGTTTTCCTGGTTGTAAAGCTGATTAATTATGTCGTTATTTTTCAATTCTTGCCAATTAATGTAAATGTGTGATGTGTTAAACTTGATTCTGTTAATAAATGACCCACTCGCTTGGTGAGTCAAAGATAATTAACGTCTCACGTCCACATTTTTATTACATTCAACGCACGTATGTTACACAGTCCAGAAAAATGAAAGAACCCGTTTAACAGTATGAATATATCTCAGGATATGTCATACTACATTACCATCGAGCTTTTTTAAAGTCAGACATTTATCTTTATGTTAATTTCTCTTTTCCATTCTTATCCGGACCAGGGGCCTCATGTACAAAAGGTGCGTATGCATGGAAACGTCGCGCACGCCGTTTTTCCACACAAACCTTTAGATGTATCAAGAATTAAAGGACCGTGGAAATGTTAGCTGCCCCATGCCAACTTCATGGCTGACGTGCACACTTTTCTATACTTATTGGTTCATCGGCAACACTTAGAGGTGATACTGGGAAACTGTTATTTTACACACCGGACACACATGATGAACAATTAATACATCCACATGTATGAAATTAGATGAGTGGATATAAAAACATGTGCATAGTAGTGCAGAAAATACCTTTAACAACAATGGCTTTTAGGCCTGTCGCGATAAACGAGAAATCTATTAATCGCATGATAAATGAAAATTATCAACCTCATTTTCATTTATCGGCTTTATTGTTTCTTCGTGTCTCTCTTTCTACTGAAGACGCTGGATGACAAAAAGCTCAACTCCGGTGATCTTCACTGACCCCTCCCTTTTTCCTTAAAATCTGTTTTAAATCATCTAAAATTGTGTTTTTGGATCGTTAAAAGCAGCTACGCCGAGAAGCTAAGCTACAAGCTAAGCTAACAGGCCGACCTCGGGGGGGGGGAAGAGATCCGTCTTGTCAAAGCTCCAAAAATTCACGGTTGAAACCCGTACATTTGTCTAAAAAGTTGTTTCTGCAAAAAGAAGCTTTTATTATTTTTTTTTTCTTAAAAGCTTTGTGTGGAAAAATGCTATGCTAAAGAGCTCAAACTACACAGATTGTCCGCCATTTTGAGAAGCGAAAAACAGGAAGGAGAGACAGCCCATGTCACGTCAAGGGGCCTCCCTCCCATTTTCTTAAAGAGACATGCTGCTCGCTCCCTCACTATCCATCCTTCGGTTCAAACAGTCTTATACTGAATCCCGTGGTCAAAAAAAGGTACTACACAAAACTTAACCAACATTTCTTTTTAAATTTGACAATAACTATTTATTGTCAAATTTAGCTTTATCCTCTAATAAAGCTAAAGCCATTAGGCCTGTCATGATAATAAATTTTGCTGGGCGATGTATTAATCTAAACACCGACAATAATTACTAATTATTGTCAAATTTCAAACAATATTATCATTTATTGCAATAATTTCTGAGACAATTAATCGTCCATCAAAATTTATTATTGTGACAGGCCTAATGGCTTTAGCTTTATCAGAGGTACAGCTAATGGTGCAACACGCAGAGAGCGTGTATTTAGAGACGGAGAGGATTTTCAGGCCCACAGTGACGACTGGCTCATTAGATGTTTTAGGTCCAAGGTCAATCCTTTTAGAACTGGAGCTGCGGTCGGTCTTGGAGCACAACAGTGAGGAGCTGTGCGCTGCTCGTGCACATACAGCTGCTGACCACACTGGGGTTCCTAACAACAGGGGCATTCCAGAGGGAGCTGGCAGTCCGATCGGGACTGTTCCAGTCGACCCTGATTTGAGCCATGCCAGGTGTCTGAGATGGAATTATCCATATGTTAATCAGGTTCATCAAATTCTCTACATTGTAGTTGAAGAGGTCAACATTAAAGTACAATTTGCAGCAACAGCCGGTTTTCCTAATGTAATCGGAGCTATCGACTGCACGCACAGTGCTATAAAATCACCATCACAGGATGAATGCATTTAAGTTAACTGGAAGCATTTTCATTCAATCAGTGTGCAGATTATATGTGAAGTGAAAAAGCAACTAACCGACATTGTGGCGAGGTGGTCTGGTTCACACGATTCATTCATACTAATGAACAGCATGGTTGGGAACAGACTACAAGCTGGCACGGTGCGGGATGGGGGTACGAATATACGTCCTAATATGTCTGATCATTTTTTCTTAATTTCTGTGGTTGTGTGCTGCTCTGACCCCCCATCATTTACAGCTTTGCACACATTGTCCCACTCACTCCTTGTGCACTTGGTGCTAATGCCAGAGGACAGCGTGCCAAACAGAATGTTTCTTTGCACCTCTACCTCATTTAGAAGAGTCTCCAACTCAGATTCCTTGAGTGCTTTTCGATGCAGGACTTATTTAAATCCATTTGTACACTTAAATGGAGCCGTGTCAAAACAGGAGTTGGGTTTCCCCTCATGTACGCTCAATTCTACGTTGAGTGGGATGTACAAAGGAAGCGTGCTTGGATTAATGCGTACGCATTTTGATTACATCTGGATTTGTGCACAGTTTTCTCGATTTAAGTGTACACCATGTTTCAGTAGAAAATCCATGCAAGTTTTTGTACATGAGGCCCCTGGAATTTTTTATTTTATTTTATATTTTCTTCTTCTTCTTCTTTCAGCTGCTCCCTTCTTCAGGGGTCGCCACAGTGAACTAAGTCGCACAAACACTTGGCAGTTATTTTTATGCCGGATGCCCTTCCTGACACAACCACAAACCACCAAGCTACCACAGCCCTCTGTGTGGAGCAGAGGGCTGCTATCTAGGACACCCGGAGGAGCAGATGGTGGAGGTTAAAGGCCTTGCTCAAGGGCCCAATGAGGCCCCTGGAAAATACCAACAGCAAATTGTAAACTTTTCAAGTATGCATCTGTTGTCTTTAATAATCAACCAGAGCACTTAATCGATGAGAAATATTAGACTAATATGACTGTATCCAGTTCACTTTTATCTACAGCTAATACACAGAAAACATTAAATGAAACCTCACCTTTGGAAAGTACTTGGATAATCCCATGTAGGCCAGTTCAAGGGTCAAAAATGGAGCAAATATTGACTGGAATACAAAAAATAAAAACACAACAGAAAAAACCTCCATTATGCATCGTTTTCTTTTTTCACATTTCAGGTCATTAGGTCTTGAAATATGTATTAAAAAGAAAACAAACAAAAAACCCCACAAAGAAGTATTTGTGGCGTCACGTCCACAGGTAGACCTACCAGATATTTGCAGACAAAACCCCTGACAAAGACGGCAAGCAGGATGCTGCCAACGAGCCTGAAGATCCTGAAAGGATCCAACTCCTCTGAGTCGGACCCGGCGTCCTGAGCCGGCTTCTCGTTGGCCAGCTGACTTCGGAGCTTCATGGCGTCGTCAAAGCGAGACAAGTACTGGTGGAAGCCTCGGCGCGGGGAGCCGCTGAGGTCGTTCGATGGTGCCCGTTCTCCCTTCGCCCTCTGCCTGAGACCGGCGGCATCGTCTTCCAGAGACGAGCCGGGCGTCTCTCTGTCGGGCAGAGGCGAGCCTCTCCTCTCTGGGGTGGAAGAGCGGCTGCTGTGAGCCGAAACGTCTGGCAGGAAGGGAGACGGTCTCTGGGAGGAGGACAAGGACCACGGCTCTGTCCTGTCCAGATCGAGGTGGAAGCGGGGCTCTGTGGGACGCCTTGAAGCTCCTGCAGGGAGGCACAACAAGTTCTAAATAAACTACTTTTTAAAAGACGTTTAAATTTTACTTTAATAAAGAGCATTTTAGAGGCTGAAAATAAACATTGTATCATTTCTCAAAACTGTGTTTAGTGGTTTTCTGTGAAAGAAGACTTCTGTGCTCAATTTAGGTTTTTATTATATAAATAATGACGTGTGTTCTTTGAAAGATCTAGTAAATAAAATCTAATACTTGGTAACAGTCAGAGGATTTTAGTAAAACCTCGGTGATGACAAAGGTGGGCTTACGTTTTTATCACTGGTACGTTAGTTCGCATCTGGATTTTATTCAGAAGGATTTTCTAAAGTTTAAAAACAAAGAAACATAAAATGTGTATTTTTTTTCAAGTTTGGATAAAACCAAATGTTTAGTGGGTATCAAATGTGTTTTGAATTACACAACATGTTTTAAAATATTTCCCACATCTCTTTCAAGTTCATGACTTTTGACCAAACTCTAATAAGAACTGCTAAGACCACCTTAAAGTCTGCTGAAAACTCGTATATTTTTTAAATTGGCATGGGACAATTGTAACGCAGCCTGACGGGTAATCCTGTTTTAGTGAGAAGGGGTTCTCTGCAGACCAAAAGTGGGCGTTTCTGGCGAATAGGCGTTTGTCGGCGGCGAACACTGATTGGCTATGGGTAACCCTCAAAGTCACGAGTCATTGATGAGGTAACGTTTCTTTGCGATGTTTGACAAAGAAATATGGTTTATTGTACTTATAAAGTATGTTATGTTTTCACTTATGCATTTTATTGAAGTACGTTTATTGTAGGTCACGATAGTTTGGACCGTTCTCTCGTTGTTGTCGTAACGCACTGAGGTAAAGTGAGCCTCCACTCAGCTCCTTTTCAAAATAAAAGCTGAAAATAAAAGTTCTTAATACTTGAAAAATAAATATTTAAAAGCTGTGTATAACTGAAAAATATGAAAAACAAATAAATAAAAGTTGTTATTAGCTGAAAAATAAATAAATAAAAGCTGTTAATTATATCTATGTCTTTCTGCCATGTCAGGGACCACTCTCACTTCAGACTGACTCTAGAAGACCCCTAGATGTTGCTCAACAATGTTGACCAACATCTGATGTTGACTTTCATTACTCAATAATGAGTAATAACTTATTCAATAAAAAGTCTGCAATTTGTCAATAATAGTCAATAATTCATTCAAGAATAGATTATGGGTGTTTGGTATGGCTCAGTGGCTAAAATGGGTTGGATGTTAGAGAAATTACTTAATTTTCAATTACCTGAATGCACAAATTCCTTCATTTATAGTTAAACTTTAGGAAATCAACTTTTTTTTTCTTGTGAAAAAAATATCAAAATTAACTTTAAAATCCAATCCAGGATTAAGTAACAACTAGCAACACCCTAACTGTGCTATGTTCTGTGTTTCCAACAGATGCTACGATGACTTCTAAAAATGGATGTCCCAATAAACACAATAAAAAAAATTCAATGATGCATCAAATGTTGTCTGAGTATGTTTTAAGGTAATAACAAATGTGAAATCTGGAAAACAAAGAGAATTCCTGAATCTGTCTTGTGTGCTTTGATGAGTACATAAGTTTATTGGAGGTCCTGAAACAACTTTTCTGAGAACACAAAAGATTTTTATTTTACCTTTGGCCAAGATGTCAGTTTGAAATCAGGCTGCTTACTGCAAAACCAAGAGGTTTTTTAAGACGGTCTTCATTTGTATTGTTTTGTCGACTAAGCTAAATGTAATTTCTAAAATATGGATAAATCTGATCTCATCATGCAGCATGAGCAACTGGGTACAGGTGTGAGGACCAAAAGTCTGGTTATGTACTGACTCCTAAATGTGCTTGTTTTCTACTGAAACATGGAGTAGGGTTGACCTTTAAAATGTGAGACAGCTGAGGAAGTTAACCAGTAAACAGAAATACCGGCTCCAGGTGCAGAAATCTGACAGAAACTGACAATCACTCATCTGTAGTGACTGCAAGTTGAACAAGAAAATGTGAAGTTAAAGGAAACATTCTTTGTCCCAAGGCCAGTTTAAGTATCATTAATATTTTTCTTTCTTTATGAATCGATTGTAACTTTGTTCACATTTTTCAACAACCAAAATGGAATTTGTTTTTTAATGTTATGGCTAGGTATTAAAAAAAAAACCTAACATTTAGCTCTCCCCACTACCCAGTTATGTTGCTCTTATTTTGAAATGTAACCGGAAGTTCTGTGTTAAGAGAGTCGAAAAAAGAAGTTATGGAGACGCCGCGGCAATATACTGGAGCAATGTCGAACCGAGACGCCGCCAGTGTTGAACCTGAGACGCCGCTAATGTCGAACCGGTTAACACCATAGACATAAGATGCCTGTGGTTAACACAATCTGCCAATAACGCCTTGTTTGTAGACATAATGTGTCAGTGGTTACGGCATTTTATCGTTCAGCCTTTTTTCTATCGTCCAATCAGATGTGGCCGGCCAGACACGCCTATTTTTCTATCGTCCAATCAAATATGGC